GTAAGGATCCGGATGCAAGTAGGAAGGGGGGGACCAGATTAGATCACAACAAGGAAAAGAAAAGGGGGCATGGAAGAAACCGAAGCAACCAACACCCCCAAGCCCCAACACCAACCAAAACGGGGCAGCCTCGGGGCCTCCAGGGAACAAACAACCGAGAGCATCGCCACCATCGAAGCTCAACATGCAATTCTCGTGCTGCCTGCACCCGCATAGTCAGCATAAGACTGGGTAACCAAGTTACAAAAAGCAACAAAACAAGCAAGACTCCAGGCCGAAGGTGTCACTGACCCCCACAGGCAGCAGACGGAGGCAAAGACAGAGAGAGAGTCACCCTGAGACAAGGGGTGAGAGCAACCCCTCTAATTTGCTGGAAGCAAGGGGAGACTCCGGGGTCACATCCATCGGACCCGCACACCCCCAGGGGTTTCCCAGGATCCTGAGCATTTACTATAAGAGGACTCGCGCTCAGGTAATCCCAGGCAGGGTACTGCTAACCGGCGCCCATAACTACCAAGCAACCTTCTAAGAACTGAACCCCAGGGATGTGTACACTCACGGGGACCTAGCAGGGGAAACCATCGGAAGAAGGAAGAATGCTCAGTGCACAGGGGACACAAGAGGCAAGAACGAAGACAGACCCTCCCACCAGGCAGATAAAAAAAAAAGAAACGCAAGAGGACAGCGTACCCAGGTGGAACAGAGCCGGCTGCCATGATTGGTGAAAACAAGCTGCGCAACACCCTGCGCCCCACCAGTGCAAAACTGCACCTTACCCTAAGGCAAACAAGGGAGACAGAACACCTGAGCACACAAAGGGAGGCCGAAAACCAAGCAGTAAAAGGCCTAGCAGAGGCAGAACCCAAGGAACTTATGGAAGGTGGCCCCAAGCCCCAAGGGCAGTACTTACAGGGCACCTACGGAAGGAAACCCTAGGCACATGCAGCCCGAGTACTGGAGAATCACTCCCGGCTCACGCACCACCTAGAAGACAATCACCACACTCTAGGTACAGTGCTGAAACAATCAGCAGAGCCGGAGCACATGACCCCAGCCTTTAGCATCAGCCGAAGAACTGATGGTGGATAGCCGGCGTGGTAGGTCTGGGGCTCCCTTTCCCTCTCCCGGGTAGGGGGGAGCTGCACAGACAGTGGCGCGACGACGTGTGACATCATGATCGTTTGCTCGTTTCTTTTAGGGGAGTTCTATCCACCTGTTCGGCTTGTGGTAGCAATTTTCACCAGAATAGGGGTTTGTTTTGGAATGCTTACCTTTCTGGGTGCCTGATCCAGTCGATGGCAGACATAGAATGCTTCCAACCACACGGGGGTTTCTATAGGTCATTGCTCCCCTTGCCTCTCTGAGGGGGCCAGGTTCTGGCTCGTGGTCCCTGGTAGGCCCATAGACTTCCATACACATGACTGATGCCAAAGTCTGACATTAGCATATCAGCCTGGATAAGCTCCGGGGAGCCGAAGGGGCTCCCCCCCAGAAAAAAAAGAGAAAAACCTGGATGCGTAATAAATTACAGTACACTGAACCTGTCTTCTGAAGTACACATCAAAGGGGAAATCATAAGTATCATATGCTAGGTTGGCTAACATAATAATAACATAATAAGGATTATTCAGGACGTTATATAGCACATATGTCAGACTAATCATGGAATATGTGATACCTGTGAGGAGTCCTATGTTGTCAACCATAGAACAAACTTGAAGAAAGAACAAAAGATATGCCATTGGACTAGTTGCAGAACTAAGTGGCATGAGTTTCGATTAAAAACTAATAGAACTAAATATCTCATCACTGAAGAGAAGGGCTAGAGATGACATGATTACCACACACACCATACAAACTTCTTAGGAGAATTCAGAGGACAGACAAGAACAAGTTACTTGTGGTTAGTGATACACAAGCAAGGAGACACAGGTGAAAACCGAGTACCCCAATGAGCCAGAGACAGAAGTACAATATGCTCCCATGCCTACATGGGGATGCATTTATTGAGTTCTCTTTCAAACCAAACAGCATAATGCACAATGAAAATCACAATAACATGATGAATCTATGAATAAAATAAATATTGAAACTATTTCAATATTTCCTGATCACCTAAGGAATGTTAGGAAATTACAAAGTTATGAGGAAGGGAAATTATGGTCATTAAGACGAGATCTTTCAAGAGAAGACAGAGAGAAGCTGAAACTGAACCTCGTAGAGGCAAAACGTCTAAATGAGAGCAGGAACGAAGAAGAAATAACAAAAAAATCTACAAAGTGATAGAGGTAGGTAGGCCAGTAAAATGGTACAAAAATGCAAACCAACAAAATTGCTAGAGAAAGGGGTAGTGAAGAATAAGGAGGGAGGGAACATGTTCCTGAAGATTGTATACGCCAACGTAGATGGAGTGAGATAAAAAATACTAGAGTTAAGTGATGTAATACAGCTGCAGACACCAGACATTGTTGCACTAACAGAGACAAGGTTATCATCTTCATTTATTGAAGATGATATTTTAAATGAGGTTATAGTCCCAAGGGGTTACTCAGTTTGGAGACGGAACAAAAAAATTAGAAAATTAGAGACAGGACAGAAAAATTTGAAAATTTGAGACGGGACAGAAAAATTAGAAAGTTGATGCCTCTCTTAACTATGCCTCCATAGCAGCAATACAATATAGCCCAACAGGGATGCCTGAAAAACATTCCTGTTATATCGGTGTTGTGTCCCCCAGCCTGCCACAAATGATCCTACCCAATAGGACCTTCTCTAATCTTACCTTACAAGACATCCAGATCCCTTTCCTTGACTATTATGATCCTAGCCAATGGAACCTTCAGTGATGATGATGATAATAATAATTGTAAGAGTAATAACAATGACTTTAATTTATATAATTTACATTTGAAACATGATAGACTGGAATATTCATAGGTATGCAGTGTAAATTATATAATGCGACAAACATGTAGTGTGTTTCAGGCATCCAAACCACCTACCCTGACTACAGACAGCCACGTGCTTTGCGAATGTCATCTATCCGAAAATGTCAGTTTCCCGATTGGGGCGTGTGTTCAGATACTGAACTTCAGAAAGCGGAAAGTTCTCATAAAATGCCTCGGGTATCTCATCAGTCACGTGTCCACCAGGCCTCAAGGCCCAGGATGGTGGTGGGTGGAAGATGAGCCTAGTTTGCCCACAGACTGTCAGGTGCCACTCTAGTAATTACCTAAGTGTAATTACAGTATGAGAGCTATGCTTGTGGTGTCCCGTCTTTCCAGCACTGTTTGTCATGTAACGCTTTGAAATTATTGACAGTTTTGGCCTCCGCCCTTTTCTCACCTAACTTGTTTAAATCTATGATCTCTTGTTCTTGACATTCCAGGTCTCAGGAATTCTTCCCCATCAATTTTATCAATTCCCGTTACTATTTTGTACGTAATGATCATATTGTCTCTTTTTTTTCTTCTATCTTCTAGTTTTGGCATATTTAATGCTTCTAACCTCTCCTCATAGCTCTTGTCCTTCAGTTCTGGGAGCCATTTAGTGCCTTCTACCTTGTGATGTCACAGATTCACAGCCCATTGTTCCCATTGTTTTGATTTGTCACGAGACTGGAATATTCATTCCGTGACTTTGTTGGATACATCTACACAATCAAGGAACATCCGTGCACCATGTCAGCTCCAAATGCACCCATTGTCTGTGAAATCTTCAACAAGCAGGATACGTAAAAGAAATAGGTCAGTGATGACATTTGAGAAGAAAGTTGAAATAATTAAGACGGCGAGTCCCAAGAAGTGTCGTGTACGCTAAATATGGCATTAGCAAGAGTACTGCTTTTGATTTTCTTAAGGCTAAACCTATCATTTTTTTTAATATTTCTCTAGAAGTGAAAATGATAAGGCAGTACAAAATAGAAAAGTAGTAAGTAAAGCAAAAGTGGAACAGAAGCATGAGGAGACAAAGAAGCCAGTGGCAGGCTGGCTGCTCATGGAAAAGACATGCGAGTTTCCCCAAGCAATGAAAATTCCTGAGAAGTGTGTATACAGTGATGGATGCCTCAGAAGCTTTAAAATCCGCCATGGCATTATGTTCATTAGGGTATATGGTGAAAGACAGTCTGCTGATGCTACTGGTGCTGACAAGTATTTAAGTAAATTTGCAGAGATGAACCAAATTTATCTCCAGAGCAAATTTATAATGCTGATGAGACAGGTTTGTGCTGGTGTATGTTACTCACAGACACGATGGCCCATAGTGGTGAAGATGATCCTTCAGGTGGTTATGAGTTGAACAGAGAATTTCGATGTTGTGCTGTGTTGTGTATTTATGGAAATGAGTAATAGTGAGTCTGAAACTAAGGACATGATGAGCCAACAATTTGTATATGAAGTTTTTGAAAGCGAGAGCAAAGGGAATAAACAAATATCAATTTGTTTTGCAAAGACAAATTGCAAAGATTCTTGCAAAGGCTTCCAAGAAAGCTCACAGTGCTCCACCTGCACCTGACTCATCACATGAATGACACAAATGCTTCAACATCTGAAGTTACCATCATTATTATTAATGGTGATAATTAAGTTATCACCACTTCGGTCAACCCAACACCATCAACATCCACCACCACCTCTTCCATGTGCTCCATTGACAATGATGGTCAAGATAGCAAGTGGATCAGTACTTCTCGTATTAGTGAGTACAAACAAAATACTGTACTGTCGAATTTATGATATAAACTTGTTGATTTTTTCCCTAGATTTTAAGGTCACTTATACGAACACAACAGGTTAACCGATGGGTCTCAGCCCTGAGGGGTTCGTAAAGCACGTGGTTGTCTGTATCATGATCCTAGCCAATGGGATCTCTTGTGATCTTACCTTAGAGGGCATCCAAAAGGAATAGCTCAGAAATTGGTCATTAAAAGCATAACACAGTCACATATTGAACATTGTACTACATCAATAAAACTTGAAAACATGCAGGTAGCTACTGACCATCTAATAGATCTTCTACTGCCATGCGAACACCTTTATCAAATGCTCGGGCATCGGCAGCTGTTTGAAACGTTAATCCAAACTTCTTGTCTCCTGTCTTCCAGTGGTGAAAGGTGGGCATTACTTTGTTGTACTCAAAATCCTTTTTTATTGTACAACTCAACACTACCTGTAATTTGAAAAAAGTAGGATATAATATCATATTTGGGGAACTATGTATGGCAATTATCTTGGCCAAAGAATAATACAGTATTACCAAAAAATTTATGAAAATTGGCAGATTTGTCTTTTTGTGGAAAGTTAATTACAGTATCACAAAAGCTTGCTTTACTTCAAGGAAGAATGAAACATTATGCTTTTAAAACGAGAGATTTGGCTACATATATAGTCTGAGGTTTAATGTTTTTATTGTTATGATTTTGTTATGATATTTCTAGATAATTAGCATACTGATGTTAAGTAAAAACTTAACATGAAAAAGTTAAGTAAATAGCTCAGCCCACACACATAAGGGGGGTCCAGGATGAACTGAAATGTTCGCACTTTCATTTCAAGTCCGTTGGTTGGGATATTTATTTTATATTCAGGGTATTGTGACTTATTCATTGCAAATAGAAAAGATATAGCATGTATTATGATTTGAGGCCATGAAGTAAATACACACTAACATTTAAATATATTGTAAGTTTTCAATAATACACTGATACTTTGTTTTCACCTTGAAAGTGCACAAAGAAATGGATAAAATTAAGAAACTTATATATATTGTACTACTGGTGGAGCTTTTAAGTGTTTTAATGTCTTGTATAAAAGTTGACCCCAAAAGTAAAATAAATATTTTGGTTTAAAATGCAGAACTGGTTTTTGTCGAGATCTGTTCTAAATATAAATGCACAATGTAATGTGGGAAACTGTCTTGCACATTAGACATTATCTAATCCAAGAGCTACTCTTTGTTCACATGTATCTGATCAGAAACAAATACTTTGGCATTACAGCAGAAATATAGAGGTGATTGGTGGATTGGTTCGTTAATACTCACGAACTGATCTGATATTCTCTTGCCGTAGATGAGATACTCGTGTTTGGGGTCGTCAAGGTCTGGTTGGGTGACACGCTTCCTGACAGACACGTTGGAGAGGCCACCCCCACCCAAGGGCACCCATCCTCCAGTGCTGTCATCACGCATCATCACCTGAGCACGCACTCGAACCAAATAGTTGCCGCTGAAACACAAAGTCCAACACTTTAGTTATTCATCCAATTCTCCAGTCATCATGCTTCTAAATCAACAACATCCCTTTAGTAATTTTGCTTAGCTTAACCCTTAACCCTCAGCTGCTTAAAACTAATGTACTGCATCGTAGAAAACTGCACAGTACCTGATTAAAAAAAAAAAAAAAAAAACAGGAAAAATTTAATTTGGCTATTTGTGCATAGGAGGTAATTGCAAATAGCTACTGGAGTACTGTAGTGTAAAGATTAGAAGATTGTTGTGGATCAGTTCTTGCACCCATCTATATATATGCTGTAATTATAAAAGAGAACGTCTGTATGTCTGTTTGTAGGAGTCTGGATGACACATCAGGACATGTGAGTGTCATAGACTTGTCAGGGTCAGCCCCAGTGCCACCATTTAAGAAATACTGGCTCCTATAACATCCCATGCAATTTTCAAACTCTACATAAAACAAATCAGGGATTTGTTTTCTGTAGAGTTTTTTAGAAGTTTTCAGTGCTTCATAATATTAAATTTTTGAAGAGGGTGGGAAAGAGGGGGAAAAGGGAGGGAAGAGAGGGGAGAAAAAGGTGAAGAGGGTGTGAGAGGGGAGGGGTGGGAGAAGAGAGGGGAGAGATTGGTAGAGAGTGAATGGATGGGACACAAAGGTGGAGAGGATGGGAGAAGGGGGGAGAGGAGTGAGAGGGGGAGAGACACACAGATGGGTTCCCCCATGAAGTTATGCTATAAAAGATTGTTGATACAATGGCAGGATGTGCAGAATACCCCTGCTAAAGAGCACAAGTGCAATAGGTACTTTGAGAGAGAACTCTATCAACATTAGAGGCCCCGAGACTGTTCAACACACTTCCATTACACATAAGGGGCATAACTGGCCGACCCCTCACAGTGTTCAAGAGAACTGGATAAGCACCTCTAAAGGATACCTGATCAACCAGGCTGTGATTCATGTCAGGTTGCGAGCAGCCACGTCCAACAGCCTGGTTGACCAGTCCAGCAACGAGGAGGACTGGTCGATGACTGGGCCGCGGGGACGCTAAACCCCGGAAGCACCTCAAGGTACGGTAAGGTACATACATTAAACTACTGTATGTAGCTAGCTTATCAAGAATATGCTTAGTTAAATGAACTTAAGGGTTCATTTTCTGATCCCATTATATATGTGCCTCTATAATGTTTTCTACTATCACTCACAGGATGAATATGGCATCCACTACCACTTACAAGATGGGTATGGGTGCCCACTACCACTCACAAGGTGAGTATGGGATCTACTACCACTCACAAGACGGGAATGGGTACTCACTACCACTCACAAGGTGAGTATGGGATCTACTACCACTCACAAGACGGGAATGGGTGCTCACTACCACTCACAAGGTGAGTATGGGATCCACTACCACTCACAAGATGGGTATGGGTACCCACTACCACTCACAAGGTGAGTATGGGATCCACTACCACTCACAAGATGGGTATGGGTACCCACTACCACTCACAAGGTGAGTATGGGATCCACTACCACTCACAAGATGGGTATGGATGCCCACTACCACTCACAAGATGGGTATGGGATCCACTACCACTCACAAGATGGGTATGGGTGCCCACTACCACTCACAAGGTGAGTATGGGATCCACTACCACTCACAAGATGGGTATGGGTTGCATAATAAATGAACTAACAGTACTGTACCAAGATGGGTACAGTCAATGGGGTTACTTATACAAAAGTAATGCTGTTCCAAACACACACAAACATCGATAAACATTTCTGCATTTCAACTAGATTTGCACACTGAAAAATCAACAGTTTTATACAGTATACTAAACAATGACTAGAAAATAACATTTATGAGAAATTTGGAGAAAATTACCCAATACTGTATTCAGGGTCACTCAGTAAATACACAAGATAAAAGAAAATAGTATTCTTCTGCAGGAAGCAGTGATGGGGGACAACACCAGGGTAAAAACTTGTATATCGTTGTCACAGAGGACATCAGAGGTAAACTAACCTACCACTGTCGGGGGAAAACAGAACCAGGGGTAAACTAACGTACTGTTGTCATAGGGGAACTTTACCTACCACCACATTACAGACCTACCAGAAATGCTATGTGTGTTAGTAACTTTGCAAAGAATGTAAGAATACCAATGTCATGTACTCTCACAACCCAATGTATCTTCTTGTATGTAAATGAACAATAAAATAAATAAATAAATAAATAAATAAATAAATAAATAAATAAATAAATAAATAAATAAATAAATAAATAAACATAGTTCCTGCTCCTGGAGGTATTACATGTTACTGAAGCTAGGGCAATATTTAAGCTGTACGACGAGATAGAACCTGCAACCCAGAGGGCCAGGATTCCCCCTTAAAAAAACTGTACAACTTTCCTTAATCATGTTGAGTTTGTTTAAATTTATTAAACTGTTTCCAAGCTTAGAAACTTTTCAACCAAAGATTTTCATGGCCTGAAATGCTGTGTGTGTGTGTTAGTGGTTTTGCAAAAATGAACCACTAAATCACCAACGTGTACTTTCACAGCTCATTGTACCTTCTTGTGTATAAATAAATAAACAACCTTGTTGTGCCTCATTGAGCTCATAAACTGCTTAATAAATGTAAACAAAGGGACCATGTTTGATGAAGGAATGGACCTAGGAGTTAAAATCCAACAGTCATTAAACCTGCAGTAAAAAAAAAAAAAAAGGCAATCAAACCTTACATCCTCATATCGGACATAGACCAGAACACAACCTATAGCACTGTATCATCCTTTGCAGATGACACTAGGATCTTCATGAGAGTAGGCAACATAGAGGACACGGCAAACCTCCAGTCAGATGTAGATCAGGTCTTTCTATGGGCTACAGAAAATAATATGGTGTTTAACGAAGATAAGTTCCAGCTCATGCGCTATGGAAAAAATGAAAATATAAAAACGGAAACCACGTACAAAACTCAGGCAAATCATGACATAGAACGAAAAGGCAATGTAAAGGATCTGGGTGTACTCATGTCGGAAGACCTTACCTTTAAAGAACACAATAAAGTAGCCGTCACAACTGCAAGAAAAATGACAGGTTGGATAACAAGAACTTTTCACACTAGAGATGCTATACCAATGATGACACTTTTCAAAACGCTTGTGCTCTCTAGAGTGGAGTACTGCTGCACAATGACAGCCCCTTTCAAAGCTGGAGAAATTGCCGACCTGGAGAGCATGTAGAGATCCTATACTGCTAGAATTCACTCAGTAAAACACGTAAACTATTGGGACCGACTAAAGAGCCTAAATCTGTACTCCCTTGAGTGCAGGCGGGAGATATATAATAATTTACATGTGGAAAATGTTAGAGGGGCTGGTCCCAAACCTGCACACAGAAATAACATCACATGAGACCAGAAGACATGGCAGGATGTGCAGAATACCCCCGTTGAAAAGCGGAGGTGCAACAGGTACTCTGAGAGAGAACTCTATCAACATCAGAGGCCTGAGACTGTTCAACACGCTTCCGCTACACATAAGGGGCATAACTGGCCGACCCCTCACAGTGTTCAAGAGAGAACTAGATAAGCACCTCCAAAGGATACCTGATCAACCAGGCTGTGACTCATACGTCAGGCTGCGAGCAGCCGCGTCCAACAGCCTGGTTGATCAGTCCAGCAACCAGGAGGCCTGGTCGACGACCGGGCCGCGGGGACGCTAAGCCCCGGAAGCTCCTCAAGGTAACCTCAAGGTAACCTCAAGGTATTCAAAAGAGCCTTTGACTTCAAGGAAAAGAAAGTGGTTATTCAACAGTACAAGTCACTGGATCACACCCTTCTGGACTACTGTATCCAAGCATGGAAACCTCGTCTTCAAAAGTACAGTTGCTTTGGAGAAAGTACAATGCAGAGTGCCAATATCATCCCAGAACTAAATTAATTCTCATACCAGGAACAGTTGAGGGCCATAGGACTACAGTAACAACACTGCCGTCCGGGCATGACACAGCTGATCACATCGAGAAATTGAAAATACTTAAGAAGTTGGAGGATATTAATCCAGATAGCTTCTTTAAAATGTCAAATGTAACATAAACAAGAAGCAACAGCTTCAAGCTCAACGCATCACAATGTTGGACAGAAAACAGGAGATGCTTTTTCACCCACAGGGTTATAGCTCATGGGTCTGCCTACCCACCAAAACCGTAAATGACAAGACATACTTCAGTTCAAAATTATCAGGAACAATGGGGGGACTTTGACAAGGAACTGGCTTCCTGTTCCCATTGAGGCCACTAGAGAGACAGTGGCCCTCAGGTAAATTCAGTTTCTGTAAATAGTTGCGTAAATGCTTGATGAATCAATATCCCCCGAGCTCCTCAGGCACATTACCAACTGGACCATGATGGGTTTAAAAGTATTTCAAAACTTTCCTTAAATGTACATGGGGGACCACATACTTATGATGAAGGATGGGTTTAAACAATGACTAACAACATTATGGTTATTGAAGACTAAAATAATAGGCACTGGATAGAACATAAAAACATCCCAATTGGTTTCTTCATTGACCTGAGAAAGGCCTTTGATATGGTAAACCATAACTACCCTTTACTTAAATTTCACCACTATGATATCCAAGGCCTTGCTCTGAACTATATTCGTTCCTATCTCAGTGACAAACACCAATATGTAGCCATCAATAACATAACCTCCCTCATTCTATCATTAACAGTAGGATACCTGTTTGGTATCCCGACTAGGAGTGCCACAAAGACCGACTAGGAGTGCCACAGGGCAGCATCTTAGGACCTCTCCAATTTCTTGTACACATTAATGATTTGCCAAATTTTTCTAACATTCTTAAACGTATAATATTTGCTGATGATACTACCTTCATCTATTCTGACCCCAACCCCCCGACACTAACTAATATTGTAAATAATGAATTAAAAAAAAGTCCACTCATGGATGTCAACCAACAAACTCATACTAAACATAGAAAAGACCAACTACATTCTTTTTGATATTTGGTATTTTGATATTTAAATTTTTTAAATGAAATTCAACTTCAGATAGACAATGTTAACATAAGCCATAAAAATGAGGTAAAGTTCCTTGGCCTATACATAGACAAGAGACTAAACTTCAGCACCCACATACAACACATAGGTCAAAAAAGTCTAAAAAATGGACAGTATACTTTCTAAAATCATATATTATGTTTCCCACTCTGCTCTCCCTCTCATTATACTATGTTTTAATCTATTCATCTTATATACGGTATCTGTGCATGGGGTTCAATCACTGCAAATTACCCCAAGCCTACCAACACTAAGCAAAAAATCTGCTATGTATCAGAACCATAACAAACTCCAACTTCAGAACCCCCCTCCCCTCTGTTTAAATCCCATAACATGCTAAACATACAATCACTCCACACATTCTCATGTGCTATTTACATTTACAAAACCGTGTTCCTAAATGCTAATCTTGATCTGAAACTTTTCCTTGATAGGTATAATAGGACCCATGAGCACAACACCAAAAATAAATATATCTTTAATATTTCCAGAGTCAAACTAAATCTGTGCAAACACTCCTTGCAAATAAAAGGGCCCAGTCTTTGGAACTCACTCCATAGTGGATTAAAAAATTGTCCAACCATTGCCTTATACAAAAGTAAAACCAATAAGTACTTAATTTCATCCTTATAGTTTCCCACCTTGTACAGTACTTCAAACTCACACTGTATCTTGTACTACCCATTTCCCCAATATTAGTACTTATGACATATATCTTCACCAGTGTAATCACCTCTGTCAATTTATATTGTAGTTAGTGTTGATATAAATTTTGCTACAATGTACTTTTTCATCTAACCTGATATGTTAGATTTGGGACCTGCCCGAAATGCTATGCGTGTTAGTGGCTTTGCATGCATGCATACATGTAAATAAATATCATTATTATTATTATACATGACAGAAAACTAGTACTGGGTCCGGAACCACTGCATTTGATGACACACTCATGGAAAGGTTGAGGCCAGTAGCTCCCTCGCTCACACACACCCAGACAGACAGATACAGACAGACACACACACACATCTTTTTAGCAAAATTAGAATAGGTTCTAACCTAAATAGGTTCGAAGTTATCGTTAGAACTGTACCTCACGACACGAAGCCAGAAGAGTTAGGGGAGACATGATTACTACCTATCAATTATCAAAGGAATTGACAGGATAGAAATCGATAGGATAGAAATCGATAGGATAGAGTAGTCCCCGTGGTGTAGTGGTAAGACACTCGCCTGGCATTCCGCGAGCGCTTTGTCATGGGTTCGTATCCTGACCGGGGAGGATTTACTGGGCGCAAATCCTTAACTGTAGCCTCTGTTTAACTCAACAGTAAAATGTGTACTTTGTTGTAACAACGATTCTTCGCGGCGGGGATCGTATTCCAGGGACCATAGGATTAAGGACTTGCCCGAAACGCTACGCGTACTAGTGGCTGTACAAGAATGTAACAACTCTTGTATATATATCTCATCTCATCTCAAATAAACTGTTTAACACGGGTGGTATGCGAACAAGGGGACACAGGTGGAAACTGAGTACCCAAATGAGCTACAGGGACATTAGAAAGAACGTTTTCAGTGTCAGAGTAGTTAACATATGGAATGCACTAGGCAGTGATGTGGTGGAGATAGACTCCATATACAGTTTCAAATGTAGATATGATAGAGTAGTCTCAGTAGGCTCAGGAACCTGTACACCAGTTGACTGACGGTTGAGAGGCGGGACCAAAGAGCCAGAGCTCAACCCCCGCAAGCACACTTTTCATTCCAAGAGTTTTAAATCAGTGGAAAGGACTAGAAAAGGAAGCTGTCAAAGGCAATTCAATAAATAGCTTTAATCATAAATACGATCAGGAAAAACGAGGAAAATGAGTCACTGCACTGAACTAATGACGGCCGAAACACGGGGCTTAAGAACAGATGCTCGACCCTCCAAGCACAACTAGGTGAGTACCCACACACACACCAACCTGCCGCTCGATGAAAGGCGAAACCAGCGAACCATTCTGCCTCTCACACATGGTACGGCCGTGAGCGAGGGGGTGGAACGGGTGGCGGGGGTGGAACTGGTGGCCCTATGTACTACCTCCCTGCAACAACACACTTTCCCTCAGCGCTGCCGCCGTCCTCCGCTGTCTCCACCACCACCGTAGGGCGCAGCCACAGGTGCAACACCCTGATGGTGTGTGTGTGTGTGTGTGTGTGTGTGTGGGAGATGTGGTGGTGGAGCACCGTGGGCCACACTCACACACCAACCAACTCATCCACTGGAGGAGCAGAAACCACCAACATACAAAGGTACCTCCGGGGCTTAACACACGACCGGAAGTTCTTAACTGGGAACGGAAATACCCGGATACCCGTTGGCGGAAGTGGGTAGTAGGCGGGTGGAGGCTGGGGGCAGGTTGGCGGGTAGCAGATGGCAGGTTGACGGGTAGTAGATGGAAGCTTGGCGGGTAGCAGATGGCAGGTTGACGGGTAGCAGATGGCAGGTTGACGGGTAGCAGATGGCAGGTTGACGGGTAGCAGATGGCAGGTTGACGGGTAGCAGATGGCAGGTTGATGGGTAGTAGATGGCAGGTTGACGGGTAGTATATGGCAGGTTGACGGATAGTAATGGCAGGTTGACGGGTAGCAAGATAGCAGACAGGTAGGGAGGGTGGTAGCAGGTGCATTAACAAGTCGTCCCTGTACCGGTACGACAATGACCCAACCCACAATTCACTTTTCCCCTTCCATTTACCACTTAACCTTCGTGCTAGGTCAGTGAGGGCTACCATACAGCTTCCTTCCCACCAGCCTCAAATAACCACAACTGCCAACATTCACAAACCACTCCGCGAGGCACCGCTAAATTTTCAGAATTCATTTCAAATATACCAAAGAACAATCTTCCATTTTGTTCAACACAACATATGTCCTTCACACTAGACACAACAGCCAAATAATATCACATTAACCTAGGGCTTGCTGGGTAAAGATCTATTAGTAGGCCTATTGTATCAATGTTATGTACGGCTGCGTGGGTTTGGGGGGAATTGGTGCAGTAGGGGTATACGCGGCCCAGCGCGGCACTAGCCTTCCCTACACACGCACTTGCTCTTCACTGAATAAACCTATGAATGGATACCAGCGTGGCCGTGTTTAGCTCGAGTAAGGCGGCACACAGTTGCCAAATTACCTTTAGCTAAGTGTCTCCCGGTCTAATTTGTTTTACTACCGCAAGAGTAAAATGGCTCCGAGAGAAGCTTCAGTGAATACGAATAAAGGTTAGAGTCCCACGAGTCGCGCCATTTTCGCAGAGGGGCCTCGTTTGGTCGCGTCTTCCTGGCTAATGGAAACTCTGGCATGAATGAATGGCGTAGTTCAGAAGGTTGGAAGACGGAGGCAGCGAGGTGGTAGCGGTCGCACGGAGGGCGGGAGAGAGGGAGGGAGGGCTGGCGGGCGTGCGGGATGGAGGTAGAGGAAGGAGGGGGAGGGGGGGGACACAGTATTCTGACTCCGCCCCTTCTCTTACCAACCCGCATCCGTTTTCATTTACAGTTCTCTCTTAAGGATGTCTTGTGTATATATCCCAGGGGCTGGTGCCATCTCATTTCTCATTCAAGACTCTTGTGCTAAAGAGGATGCTCTGTTTGGTCCACTACTCCTGCTGTCCATCTACCACACTCTAAACCATCTTCTGGCCACTGCTCGAGGAATTAAGAGCACTCTCATATAGGCAGAATTGTGGAACATGGCCAAATGAATTGAAAGTGACGACGTTCCGGCCCATCCTGCACCACTAACATGCCGAAACAGTTTCCACCTGCCATACACCTTCAAAAAGGTAAAAGCGAATGAGTTAGGGTGCCGAGTACAACACATTTGTTAATCTTAGCGTATACCCTTGGGCAATATTGGGCACAATTGATAGTATCCAGATATATTGGGTAAGGGGGGAAAGGGAATGAATGAATGAATGAATGAATGAATGAATGAAAGAAAGAAGAAAGAAAGAGAGAGAGAGAGAGAGAGAGAGAGAGAGAGAGAGAGAGAGAGAGAGAGAGAGAGAGAGAGAGAGAGAGAGAGAGAGAGAGAGAGAGAGAGAGAGAGAGAGAGAGAGAGAGAGAGAGAGAGAGAGAGAGAGAGAGAGAGAGAGAGAGAGAGAGAGAGAGAGAGAGAGAGAGAGAGAGAGAGAGAGAGAGAGAGAGAGAGAGAGAGAGAGAGAGAGAGAGAGAGAGAGAGAGAGAGAGAGAGAGAGAGAGAGAGAGAGAGAGAGAGAGAGAGAGAGAGAGAGAGAGAGAGAGAGAGAGAGAGAGAGAGAGAGAGAGAGAGAGAGAGAGAGAGAGAGAGAGAGAGAGAGAGAGAGAGAGAGAGAGAGAGAGAGAGAGAGAGAGAGAGAGAGAGAGAGAGAGAGAGAGAGAGAGAGAGAGAAGAGAGAGAGAGAGAGAGAGAGAGAGAGAAGAGAGAGAGAGAGAGAGAGAGAGAGAGAGAGAGAGAGAGAGAGAGAGAGAGAGAGAGAGAGAGAGAGAGAGAGAGAGAGAGAGAGAGAGAGAGAGAGAGAGAGAGAGAGAGAGAGAGAGAGAGAGAGAGAGAGAGAGAGAGAGAGAGAGAGAGAGAGAGAGAGAGAGAGAGAGAGAGAGAGAGAGAGAGAGAGAGAGAGAGAGAGAGAGAGAGAGAGAGAGAGGAGAGAGAGAGAGAGAGAGAGAGAGAGAGAGAGAGAGTGAGTGAGTGAGTGAGTGAGTGAGTGAGTGTGAGAATGTGATGGATGTAAGAACGCACATTTCGAATAATAGATTCGAACATAGTCAAGAAGACTAAATGTGAAATACAGAATTTCCTAGATTTAAATGTTATTTTTTAGGCTTCGTGCACACTTACCGAACCAGTCTTGTTTTAAGACATTCAGATTCCTTGCCCCTAGCTGCAAAGCTTCCTCATGAATTCCAACTAAAGTCAATTAAATTAAACTCTTATAGGCCTGAAAACACCAGTATAAAAAGCTATGATTTGTTTAGATCCAAACCTATGTACAGTGTATGGGCAGCACAAAATGTGGACCAGAGTGTGCGACACAATGGTTGCCAGGATCAGGTTGGGTTACCGTTACCTGTGGCAGGTGGCTACAGGTGACGGATCTCCCAATCCTGAGCACTCCAGGTGCAAACTCTGTGAGCAGGAACTGCGGCATGATCTACCACACTACATCACCGAATGCCCAGTTATTAGACTATTCAGACCCGTTAGCATGAGTTACCTGGAGCTTTACAATTACTTTATTAACTCTGGTGTTGTTGAGGATGTCCTCATAATGCACCCAAAATTTGCCACCAGACAACTGATCACGTGGCCCTGTGTCACTAACCATCCTGTGTGATGGGGATTTTTAGCATCACGTAGCTAGTTCTTGACACACTGTATATTCTCCTTAATAAAGTCTAGGGCAGCTGCATAAATGCAGATGTACCTAAATATGTTAATACAAAAAATTAATATAAACTTGTCACTGTCCCATCTTTTTTAAGATAGGGAATTAAAGCATTTTTTGAACCTTGCTTCATCAGTTGATATCATTCGCACAATATTTAATCTATATGCCTTCCAATAGAGCGCTATACTATTAACTGTATTAAGGTATTAGATTCTTGATCTATTCTTGAATACATCCCCATTCATGAGTCTTAATCCTATTCAGCTGAGCATAAACCGCTCTGACCATTTTCCAAATTTGTTAACCAAATGATGGTTCTAAATTGGATGCTCCAGATCTCGTACATAATCCGATTCCAAAATTATCTCCCCACTTAAATCTGTAATCCTCCCAGAGGTCTTCCCCCGCCTCGCCGCCATGTTTGCCGCCTCACACCAACTGGGTCGAAACTTCTTTTTTATTTTTTACTTTATTATTGATATATACATGAGTTCTTACATTCTTGTACAGCCACTAGCACGCATAGCGTTTCAGGCAGGTCCTTAATCCTATTATTCCCCGGAATACGACCCGCCAAATCGTTTAACAACCAGGTAGCCATTTTACTGTTGGGTAAACAGAGGCTACAGATAGGGAGTGACGCCCAGTAAATCCTCCCCGGCCAGGATACGAACCAAGGACAAAGCGCTCGCGAAACGCGAGGCGATTGTCTTACCACTGCACCACGGGGACTGCGATGTCTTCATCCTAAACCTCGTCCACTTATCCCTTCAAGATGTTGGGGACAGGATTCATCAAGGACTTACGTTTCCACTTAAGATATCGTTACCCTACGCCTTCACTTACGAGGTTATCTTGAGATGATTTCGGGGCTTTAGTGTCCCCGCGGCCCGGTCCTCGACCAGGCCTCCACCCCCAGGAAGCAGCCCGTGACAGCTGACTAACTCCCAGGTACCTATTTACTGCTAGGTAACAGGGGCATTCAGGGTGAAAGAAACTTTGCCCATTTGTTTCTGCCTCGTGCGGGAATCGAACCCGCGCCACAGAATTACGAGTCCTGCGCGCTATCCACCAGGCTACGAGGCCCCTTAAGGTGTGTACTGTGGTGTGTACTCGACGTGTTCACTTACGAGATCTGTACAGCTCTCCTCAATCATGTCTTAGTTTGTATTTATTAAACAGTTTACGAGCTCCGAAGAACTACGATGTTGTCTATAATAACCCTGGCTCGTGAACGACCTCGCAGCCTCACACAGCTCGTAAACTGTTCCAGTGGCGGCTTGGGTTCGAATCCTCACGAGTTAAAGAGTTTAAGTGATATATACAGTGTATATATATATATATATATATATATATATATATATATATAACTCACACCCCAGAAGTGACTCGAACCCATACTCCCAGAAGCAACGCAACTGGTAACTACAGGGCGCCTTAATCCGCTTGACCATCACGGCCGTCAAAAGGAAGTGATAGCCGAGGCTATTTGAGCCACTTCCCCGACGGCAACTCGGATGGTAATCTTGGGCATAGCATTTCACCAAATCACCTCATTCTTTGGGGCACACGTGAGGAACACAAATGCGAACAAGCCTGAATGATCCCCAGGACTATATGCGAATGAAAACTCACACCCCAGAAGTGACTCGAACCCATACTCCCAGAAGCAACGCAACTGGTAACTACAGGGCGCCTTAATCCGCTTGACCATCACGGCCGTCAAAAGGAAGTGATAGCCGAGGCTATTTGAGCCACTTCCCCGACGGCAACTCGGATGGTAATCTTGGGCATAGCATTTCACCAAATCACCTCATTCTTTGGGGCACACGTGAGGAACACAAATGCGAACAAGCCTGAATGGTCCCCAGGACTATATGCGAATGAAAACTCACACCCCAGAAGTGACTCGAACCCATACTCCCAGAAGCAACGCAACTGGTAACTACAGGGCGCCTTAATCCGCTTGACCATCACGGCCGTCAAAAGGAAGTGATAGCCGAGGCTATTTGAGCCACTTCCCCGACGGCAACTCGGATGGTAATCTTGGGCATAGCATTTCACCAAATCACCTCATTCTTTGGGGCACACGTGAGGAACACAAATGCGAACAAGCCTGAATGGTCCCCAGGACTATATGCGAATGAAAACTCACACCCCAGAAGTGACTCGAACCCATACTCCCAGAAGCAACGCAACTGGTAACTACAGGGCGCCTTAATCCGCTTGACCATCACGGCCGTCAAAAGGAAGTGATAGCCGAGGCTATTTGAGCCACTTCCCCGACGGCAACTCGGATGGTAATCTTGGGGAATGGTCCTGGGGACCATTCAGGCTTGTTCGCATTTGTGTTCCTCACGTGTGCCCCAAAGAATGAGGTGATTTGGTGAAATGCTATGCCCAAGATTACCATCCGAGTTGCCGTCGGGGAAGTGGCTCAAATAGCCTCGGCTATCACTTCCTTTTGACGGCCGTGATGGTCAAGCGGAT